AACCCAGCCTTGCTCATGGCCCGCATCCTTGTCCCCTCAACTGATGTCCTGGAAGGAGCCGGAGACACCCCAGTGCAGTCCTTCAATCTGACCCGGTGGCTTCACCGGCACTGCACCCTGCAACCCTAGGAGCCTCCAGATCTCTGCAGGGGAGAACATTCTTCATTTCGTCCTTCCTCTCCTGAACGACTTAAAGGTTTTTTATGTAGAAAAACTCTTCATGTAATCAATAATATGCTAAGGAACCTTTCTTTTAGATCTACTCAGAATTGTCATGGATCTTGTCTTGTTTAAACTGTACACAATGATTAAAGGCTGTTTTCTTATTCTCCACCTGTGCAATTGATTTCTATGGGTAGGGTCAGTATTGGAAGTGGAGAGGTGGGATTGGGGCAAACAGGGATCAGGGACCCAGGTCAGAACTCATTAAAATGAAAGAAAAATGAATTAAAACAATGAGATATATTTGTGTTGCATAACGGCATATATTAAACAATGGTGCTTTTCAGTTAAGGGTTGGGAGGAAAATTAACTATAGTCCATCTGCATAATCCAAAACAGTGAAGCCTTTAGAAATAAAATGGAATATGTTATTTTGAAAAGATATCCAAAGGCAGTAAGTACAAAAGTATGGTGAGGTGGCCCCAGCACTGGTGGTGGTGGTGGGGTGGCTGTAGCACCAGGGTTTGAAGGGCAGGATCTTCCTGAATTTGGAGAGGAAAGTGCTGAGGCTCAGCTGCCCAGCTAGGGTAAGAGAAGGGTTCCAGGATTACTGCCTACACGCGCAGTCTTTCTCAGTCAGATGGTCTGCAGCACTCAGGTCTCCTGGGGTGGACTTTAGCACAGTTTGGAACAGGGGCATCCATTTCCAGGCATCTGTTCGCAGGCAGGACTGTCTGGACAACTTTCCAAACTGTCCAGGTCTCTGAAAAAGTCTTTGAGCCCTAGTCACTTCCCTGAGCACACAGCAGCTCCCACCTCAACAGATCTGGGGCATTCATCTGAACATCAGCTTGATGCCTGGAAGTTGTCCAGACCTGGCACTTACTATTTGCGGGGCGGACAGTAACCCTGGCTCTGTCTCTTGCATACAGATAAACATATAGTTTGCTGAAAAGGAGATGAAGCTCAAAATCCACACATTCCTAGATGGTAAAGCAATATGTCTGGGCTGAGAGTGAGGAAAAGGATGTGGTAGTTCCTACTCTTAACACTTTTAGACTCGTGGGACCTCAGAAACCAACGTGCTGAAAACTTGAGGTTGGTGCTAACCTTTGGTGCAAATTCCTTCAGAGAGCTGGGCGTAGTGAGAGGAATCACATAGATATGCTCTTCCTGAGTTATGTCAGTTAAAATAGTGCTGAGGCTGATTTTGGGTATGTTCATTAATTTGGGCAATGATAGCATTAGATGGTTATAGCAAGTTAACATGCATTTTCTGGGATGAAAATTGTAAAAAAACAAGCAAATCTTTGCAAGAAAGATATTTTCACTCTTTGAGTGATACCTGCCCTTCCTCTGTTCAGTCTGTGGCTGGAGACTATTTTGTCCACATTCATTCCTTCTTCCTTCTAAATATTTACTAAGCACCTATTGTGGTGGAAGCGGATCCATGCTTTGGAGACAAAGCCACCAATAAGCAGACATGAGCTCTGCCATAAAGTGCCTGACACTTTCATGGGAGGAAACAGACAGTAAACATGCCAGCAA